TTCCAACTGGAAAGCAGTAGGGTGTTGGCAGACGATTTAGGAAGTAAAGCAGGATCCTCTGCTTTGTCAACAGTTAACCAACGCAGCCCTGAGTTCTTTAGATTCAGATATATACACACAGTAACTAAGTAGCTAACAGAGGTTTATGTGTTTAAGAACACATGGTAGCTAAATATCAAACAAAGGTTTATATAAAAAGAACACATACAGGTTTAGTTGGGCCATTAGGAGTAGGTTAAATGCAATCCTATAGATAAAATAGCATATAGAAATTTTGCCTAATTCCAATATACTTATTTGTGCAAATGTTAAACTCATTCATGTTAGGCAGATAATAATGATGTTCATACTTCTGATGATGATGATCACCAACATTTATTAAGTATATACTATGGGGTCAGACACTGTTGTAAGCACTTTATTTTTTTTTAATTTTTAAAATATTTATTTAAGTAATCCCTACACCCAACATGGGGATTGAACTCACGACCCCCAAAATCAAGAGTCGTAGTTCTTCTGACTGAACCAGGCAGGTGCCCCGGTTTTAAGCACTTTATATGTCTTAATTCATTTAAACCTAACAACCTATGAGGAAGATACTATTTTTTCTTTAAGATTTTATTTATTTATTTGAGAGAGAGAACACTAGAGAGACCGAGCAAGCACAAGTGGGGGGCAGAGGGAGAGGGAGAAGCAGGCTCCCGAAGTAGGGCTCGATCCCAGGGCCCCGGGATCATGACCTGAACCGAAGGCAGACGCTTAACCAACTGAGCCACCCAGGCGCCCCTGTATCCACATTTTACAGATGAGAAAATCCGAGGCCTGGGAATATTTAGAAATTTGTCCAAGGACACACAGTTTGTAGGTGAAAGAGCTGAGATTTGAATTCAGGAAATTTGTCCATGTGGCCTGCACTGTCACCTGCATTTGTCTCTTAGACATTGCTTTGGCTTCTATCCTCTACCACCGGTACCTTAGGCTGGGTCCCTGGGCTTGGTCCAGGTATTTCCATCTTTCCACTTTCAATCCTTTTCCCTCTCCCCTCATACACAAGTCCTTGATGCTTTTTCCCCACCCATCCTTTTGTACCTGACGGGTCCCATCCATGTCTTGGCCACTAGAGGGCGCGAGGAACAGAAACTCAGGGACTGCAGAGCCATCCTGCCAGGACTGTGAAAGGGGCTTGATAGGGAGCAGAAGCTCCAGAGGAATGGAGGCAGTAGGCAGGGTGCTCTCTGGGGACTGAGGGAAGGGATGAGCACGGGCCAGTGAGGTGAATTTGAACTCAGACATGACGAGTGGCAGGTGGGCAGCTTCTGCTGGGAGAGCCCATCGTATATATTTACAGGTTTCCGTTGCTATCTGAAAGTCGAGTGTTCCAATGAAATCTTTCATAAGCTGAAATGGCATAAAGTGGAGAAGCAACTACAAATAATTTATATGGAAAAAAATTTTGAGCATTCCCAGACTCAAGAAACAACCTCTCTTAGGCTTTTCTGATACCTTTGGAACATCTTCCTAACGATGCGCAGACTAAATCAAGATAAAGTACAGTTCAGAGCTGTGGGGCCTGATGCTGAGACACTGGGCGTAGTTGGCAGGGAAGGAGCTTGGCGGGGCCACTTTCACTGCCTCTGTAACCCCTCACTGCAAAACAAATGCTGAATGCTATTTTCACTGGTCACCTTTGTGGGGTTTTTTTCACCCCATAAAAGTGAAAATCTTCTTTGGGTTTATTTTAATTAGCGAACACAAGTACTGAGGTTTTCCATAAATGCGGAAGTGGTGTGATGTGAACTTGGAAAAGCAGGTGATGCCTGTATTTCCCTCTCCCCACAAGGGAGTGGGGAAGTTGGGAAGGACTAGAGAACAGTGTGGTGGTGGGTGGGAAACCAACTTCCAGCCCCTCCATGCTCTGTACAGTCTGGTTTCCCCAGACTCAGGGGCTTTCAGAAAGGACAGTGAGAAGGTTTTACTGTTGTCCCCCATTCCCCTCCCCAATACCATCCCATATGCCTAATATTCTAACAACGGAACATTTGGGTCTCTTACTTAAGCTGGAGTTCTGAGCGATGTACAGATTAGCATCATGAATGGTCAGAATTTCTGTTTGGATAGTGCAGGGGACATCTGGAGCAAATTTTAAGGGGTCTTCCCTCTGATTGATATAACCTCATATTTACTGATGACAAATTTCCTGTTCTTAAGAGTTGAATACCAAGTAGGATGCATAGTCAAGTAAGGTTTATTGCTTTTAAATTAGGACTTGAGCTATGAGCATAGAGATTTGTTTTGTTTGTTACCCCCAGGTCTAGAACAGTGTAAATTGTTCAACTAAAATAAGAATTTCATGGATGTATCACTTTCACTTTAAAGGTAAAGCTTTGCCTATTGATTTGTATAGATAACGTGTACTTTTCCTTAATGATGATGATACTTTATTAACCAGCTCATTTGAGCCCAGAGCTCTGGTCAATTTACCTAAAAGATTCCAGGGACCTGTCGGTTCTAAGAGACATCTGTGGTGATGTGGACAGAGTGCTGGGCTGGGAATCAGAGATCTGTTTCCCTTAGACTCTTCTTTGTGTGTACTACTGGGCTGGTCACTTCTCTGAGCTGTCAATTTCCTCATCTGTAAAAAGGCCCTTACTGATTTTATAAAATCAGGACTCTGGTGAGGATTACAAAATGAACACTGGTTGCCAGGCAAAGCTCAGATTTTAGATTAATCTAATCCTCTGCTCCTTTACGTGGGTTGCTGAACACGCTGGAGCAAACCATTCAACCGTGAGCACTGGTGCAGCTGCAGACTTCTGAAATCTAATATCATCTGGACCCACTGGACTCTCCATTTGCAAAGCCTATTACATATTCTCATTTAGCACTCACTTTGCTTTCCTACAATGATTATTCTAACCCTTGGCTATATTTAAAGTTCTCCATATCCCTTTCCTCTAAGAGTTAGTTTTGTTTTCAGTTATACAGAAAAAAAACCCCCAAAACAAAAAACCACCCAGAAATAAAAACCAAAGCTATATAAAAAAAGAATCTATAGCATGTTATCAATTCTTGAAGTAAAAAAGCATGGAAAAAAGACTAGAGTGAAATATGCCAGAATGTAAGCAGTGGATTTTTGTTCCTTCATACTTCTCTGTGCTTTCCCAGTGTTCTGTTGCAACATGTATTACATAATGTTTGCAAAATGATGTAAAAATAATGAAACAGAAAAGCTACAATTTGAAGAGCTACCACCCACCTGTTGATTTATCCCCCATCCTATTCCCACCCTGAATGAAGGGGTCTCTCTCTCTTTCCCCATCCAGTGCTAATCTGATTATCTGTGCTATTAATTCCATATTCTCTTGACTTCTCAAGGATCTTGCATTGGCATTATTAGATAACCTTTCCCTCCACATTCAACCTCCCATTCCTTTTTAGCCTTTTTGTCTGTATATAAATATGCATAGTCCTCTCCTGTCTTAGCAAACGAATTCCCCAAGCTCTAACTCTACCTTGACCCCACTCTTACTCTAGACCCATATCTGTTTTTCCTTTCATAGCTTAAATTCTAGAAAGAATCTGAATTCTAATTTCTAAATCCTCATCTCAACCCACTGCAGTCTGGCTTCTTCCCTCACAACATCCTTAACATTGCTCTTGCCAAGATCTCTAGTGACATAGTTGTCTCATTTCAGTCTTAACCTTATTTTTCTCTTCATACTTTGTTCAGTACAAATACTGCTACTTCTGTGAAGTCCTCCTTGATTTCTCCCAGGGAAGGCTCAGATGCTTTTGCTTTTTCCCCTGTATTCTCCTTGCCTTTTGTATAATTGTTTTATTGTACTCTGATTTGTGTATTTCTATTTTAGATTATAAGGTTCTTGGGGCAGGCAATACAACTGTTTTTTAGTTTTTTTTTTTAAAAGGCTGTGAAATATAATGCACACAGAAATACATTAATTAAAATTTAGAGCTAATGAATGATCATAAAGTGAACACTTGTGTAACTATTACGTAGGTCATGGCATGGAGTATTTTCAGTAGTCCAGGAGCCCCACCTATTCCCCTGCTCTCTTGGGTTTATGACACTTACTTCCTGGGTTTCCTTCATAGTTGCACTGCCTGGATATGCATTCCTAAACAAATCGCTTAGTTTTAACTGCACTTGAACTTTTTACAAATGCCGTCATGTCATGTGTTCTGTTCTGTTTTGCTTCTCTCGTTGAATATTGTATTTGTATGATCCATCCTCATGGTTGTGTGTTATTATATTCCTTCATATTTCTTGCTGTATAGTGACATTTTGTTACATGAACTTACAACATGCAATGCATCCAGTAATGGACACTTGGTTTATTTCCAGTTTTTGGCTATTATGATGCTTCAAATGTCTTGTAGACTTCTTTTAGTCCCCGTGTGCTTGAGTTTCTTCAGGGTGTAGACCCAGGAATAAAATTACCTGTTACAGGATGCGTACATCGTCAACATCTACAGGATGCATATGATGGCAAACTGTTTCTCAAAGTAGGTTTCACAATTTACATCCCAACCAGCCGTGTAGAGTGCCCATTGCTCTCTATCTTTGCCAACATGTGGTAGTATCGGGCTTCTAAATTTTTATCAACACAAATGGAGTAGAGTAGTATTTTACTATGGTTTTAATCTGTATTTCCCTCTTAGCAATGAGGGTGAACACCTTCATGTGTTTATTGGCCAGCTGGATTTCCTCTTTAGTGAGGGGCCCATTCAAGTTTTGTTCACTTTTTTAGTGGGCTGCTTGTCTTTATTTTATTGCTTTGTAAAAGTCATTTTACATTTTGGATATGAGTCCTTTGAAAAGAAATTATACTATAAAATCATACACATTGAAGATTTATTGATTACAGTATTTTTTATTTTTTTACTTTAAAACTAATAAGTGAGTAGAAACAGAATAATTAGAAAACAGATTATAGTATATGTAACTTCACTTAATCCTGTCCTTCCCTTCTTCTCTCTAGGTGTTATTATTGTCCCCAGTGCTGGTGTTGGTATTGTCCTGGGAGGCTACATTATAAAGAAATTGAAACTTGGTGCAAGAGAATCTGCCAAACTAGCCATGATCTGCAGTGGTGTGTCTTTACTGTGTTTTTCAACCCTATTTATTGTTGGATGTGAAAGTATTAACCTAGGAGGCATAAACATCCCTTATACAACAGGGTAAGTATCTCGAAAGAGCCATTTCATGTTATTCTAATCATGAATGAAGTGCAAAGCCCTATAGTGTTGGTACCCTAGGGTGGAACTAGTGTTCCCCCAACCAGGGAGGTCTCCCGTGCACGTTTCATCTCCCCAAGCTGGAGCGCGCATGCATGGAGGGCAGGGACGATGGTCTCTTCTTTGTCAATGTTCCTTTCAAGCCTCACAGAGTGTTTCCCATAGTATTTTGGTTACAGCAGATGAGGAAATGCTTGTTGGGTTAATGAAAATTGTTCTTTCTTTCTTTTTTTTTTTTAATATTTTATTTATTTATTTGACAGAGAGAGAGACAGTGAGAGAGGGAACACAAGCAGGGGGAGTGGGAGAGGGAGAAGCAGGCCTCCCGCCGAGCAGGAAGCCAGACATGGGGCTCGATCCCAGGACCCTGGGATCATGACCCCAGCTGACGGCAGACGCCTAACGACTGAGCCACCCAGGCGCCCCAGAATTGTTCTTTTTTTAATACATTTTGAATAGACAATACATCCACATAGTTTAAAAACATAAAATTAAATGAAAATACAATGTACACTGAAAAGTCTTGCTCTTACCGAAGTCCTCCGCCTCATTTCTCCAATCAAAGACGAACCAGGTAACCACTTGGATTCATTTCTTGTGCATTCTGCCAATGCTTCTTTCTATAAGAAACTATGAGTATGAAGGGGGGGAAATCGGAGGGGGAGACGAACCATGAGAGACGATGGACTCTGAAAAACAAACTGAGGGTTCTGGAGGGGAGGGGGGTGGGAGGATGGGTTAGCCTGGTGATGGGTATTAAAGAGGGCACGTTCTGCATGGAGCACTGGGTGTTATATGCAAACAATGAATCATGGAACACTACATCTAAAACTAATGATGTAATGTATGGGGATTAACATAACAATAAAAAATTTTAAAAAAAGAAACTATGAGTATGTATTTAAAATCTTCCCTGTTTTATATCCAAAAGGTAGCATTCATACGTACTTTTCCCACCTTAAAAAAATGTAACAATATAGCTTGGAGATCTTTCTGTGCCAATAATAATAATAATACAAAGCATAGCTAACCCTTATATTGACACTCTTCTAATGCTTTACATATATTAACTCATTAATCCTCATGACAACCCTATCAGGTAGGTTCTATTATTATCTTGATTTTATAGATGGCAAAACTGAGGTACAGAACACACATACTGGTGGTATGCTGATAATATGTAACACACGGCTAAGAAAAAAGTTCCCATCTGTAGCATTTGCCAATTTCGGAGGTGTAAATATCCCCACCATGGCTGATTTCAAGCTAACAACGTGAAGATACTGAACACCAAGCTGGGAGGAGATGCCCAGTCACGTACCATTATATAATATTTCTCTCATACAGGTATTTAGACCTAAATAGCCTAGTCAAGACATAGGTAACAGTATAGTAAAATAACTAGGAGGTGATGAATTGAGTATTTATTATCTTTGAAATAGTTATTTAATTATAAGTTTATGGAATTTAATTTTTAATAATTGCTGTGCTAAACAAACAGTTGACAAAATCCTTGAAAATTGAGGATTTTGTGACCCAGGGTGACTATGCTGCATGTTACATAGAACTTAATCCAGACTTAACCCCAAACAATTCAGAGTCCATGCTTTTAAGCACACCTTAAAAAAAAAAAAAAGTTTATTCATTTATTTGAGAGAGAGAGAGAGCATGAGAGGGGGTCTGGTTGGGTCAGAGAGAGAAGCAGACTCCCTGATGAGCAGGGAACCTGATTTGGAACTTGATCCTGGAACTCCGGGATCAGGACTTGAATTGAAGGCAGTCGTTCAACCAACTGAGCCACCCAGGTGCCCTAAGCACTCCTTTTAAAAATTTTTTTTTAATTTTATTTAAATTCAATTAATTAACATATAGTGTAATATTAGTTTCAGAGGTAGAGTTCAGTGATTCATCAGTTGCATATAACACCCAGTGCTCATTACATTACATGCCCTTTTTAATGCCCATCACCCACCTATCCCTTCCTCCGCCCCCCTCCCCTCTAGCAACCCTGTTTGTTTCCTGTGATTAAGAGTCTGTCATGGTTTGTCTCCCTCTCTGATTTCGTCCTATTTTATTTTTCCCTCCCTTCCCCTATGATCCTCTGTTTTGTTTCTTAAATTCCACATATGAGTGAAATCATATGGTTTTTGTCTTTCTCTGATTGACTTATTTCGCTTAGTATAATACCCTCTGGCTCCATTCATGTCGTTGCAAATGGTAAGATTTCATTTTTTTGATGGCTGAGTAATATTCCATTGTGTATATATATATCACATCTTCTTTATCCTTTCATCTGTTGATGGACATCTGGGCTCTTTCCATAGTTTGGCTATTGTGGACATTGCTTTAAACACTCCTTTTAACTGCCTGTAACATTCCATTTAATTCTATTTGTAAGTTAACCAGTCCCCATTTGAAAGGCAGTTTCCCATCTTTAGTCGTTAAAAATCATGCTGCAATAAATAACTTCATGCATATGTCACTTCTCCTGTGTGCCATGTATCTGTAGGATAAATTTCCAGAAATGAGATTGCAATGAGTTTTGCCAAATTTACTCCCCAGGTGTTGTATTAATTTGCCCCTTCACCAGCAGTGGATCTGAGGATCAATTTCCTACATGCTTTCTAAAAGAAGGTGGAAAATTCTTCTTGGAGTGTTAAGAAAACCATAACTTTTATACATTTGGGTTTGTTAGGATCTGCTCATTGGACAGAACTCCAGTGCCTAGATTTTGGTGTTTGCTGTCAACAAGCAGTTTCCTTTTGCTTTTTAGTGGAGTTTTATCTTATAAAATATTCCACTTGAAATTTGAAAAAGAAAAGCTTTAATTTCACTTAGCCAACCTAGAACATCAGGGGGGAAAAAAAAAAAGAGGAACTGCCAATCAGAGCTTATGTAGATGACAGAATATGGTCACTTGTGTCAAGAATCTTTTTTTCATCAGTAGATGTGTGTCTGGGTAATGCATGTACTGATACATAGCTTCTTTTAGTGCCTAATAGAATGGCATAGGAAATAATGTGTTTAAAAATTTAAGGGCAGTATAGACTAGGAGCCCAGATTCCTGAGTTAAATCTGATTTTGCATCTTCACGCTGCTTGGCCACTTACTTAACTGTAAGCCTCAGTATCCTCATCTGTAAAATAGGGTGATGATAATAGTGTCTTAGTCCCCCTTCGGGCTACTGAAATAGAATAGTATAGACTGGGTGGCTTAGAAACAACAGAAGTTTATTACTCACAGTTCTGCAGTTGAGGATCAAAGGACCTGCAGATTTGGTGTCTTGTGAGGCTCCACTTCCTGGTTCATAAGTGGCCATCTTTTTCCCTGTGTCCTCACGTGGTGGCAGGGGTGAGGCATCTCTCTAGAGTTCCTCTTATAAAGGGCACCGATCCCATTCATGAGGGCTCCACCCTCATGACCTAATCACTTCCCAAAGGCCCAGCCTCCAAATACCATCACACTGGGGGTTCGTTTTCAACCTATGGATGTTGCAGGGACCCAAATATTTAGTCTATAGCAATAAGAATCACTTGAGAAGCTTCAGGCAAGGATAGTATGAGTAATGTGTAAAGCTCTCAGCTCGATGCCTGGCCAACAGTAAGTGCTCACTGAAAGTTAGCTCTTGTTATCAGTCATCACTAATAAATTAAGAATAATTTCCACTTCTATCGAATTATTTTTATTACAGTTGGAAAACAAATAGGATTAAGAAGTTAGAAGCAAAAAACCAACAGTTTCCTGACCAATCCTGCTTCCTGGGGCAATAATTTTAAATTCTTCTTAGCTGTCTCTTCTGGTATTCACCTCTATATTTTTAAGACATAATGTATAAATTAACCAAACTGGGACATTATTTATGACTTCCTATCTTAGTAAATGAGGAGTGCAGCTTTCTTTTCATATATTGTGGTCAAATCCTTCTTTGATATTTCTTGTGTTTGATTATGACAGTGTTATTAACTGCTGAGACACAAGTAGTGTGTCATGAGGAGATTTCCTCTTTTGTACAGCATTGATTTTCCTGGAATTTGTGATTGTCTTATTTTCATTATCTTTGTTTTCTCTGAATGTGTGTCTGGCTTCCCATACTCTCTGAGGGCTCAAAAGATCTCACTGTGATGTTTCACCTGTCTGATGAACTCACGATTCCACTTTCCAGCCCTTGGAGTCTTCTAAATCGGAGCCCCGGTGCCCATGCTCTAATCTGGACACAATGCTCTCTGGTCCTGCTGCCCAGCTGTCACCTTTGTTCTCTGGGCTCCGTGGATGCCTCTTTTTTGGCTCCTCCCTCATTTTGTGAGAGAACATCCTCCAGTAGCTAGAAGAAGGCTACACAGGCTGTCACTTTTTTGTTTTTGAAGATTTTCCATGAAATAGCTTTAAAAAACTATCATATTTGACTGTCAACTTGAATGGGTAAAGAATTTTAGATTGGATGAATCATTTTCACTCAGAATTTTGAAGTTATTACTCCATTATCATCTGATTTTTCATGCTGTTTGTGGGAAGTCTGGCCTTTCTTTTTGCCAGTCTTTCATATCTGCCCTATTTTTCCTTTCTAGGAGCTTCCGATTTATGCCTGGTATTCCTGAATTTCACCATGATATATACTTTGGAATTTTTTTCCCCCCTCTCCTGAGCACTTAGCTTTATTGTCTGGAAACTGTGTCCTTTAGTTCCATTTTTTTTTTTAATTTAAATTTTGTTATTTTTTTTCTCACCGCTTTTTCTCTTCTCTCTCCTTCATTGGTCCTCTACTTATTCTTTATCATCTATTTTATCTCATTTTTTGTCCTACTTTTTGGAAAGGTTTCTTCAGCTTTATTTTTTCAGTCTTCTGCTGAATCTTTATTTTGGATATTGTATTTTTAATTTCCACATTTTGTTGTTGTTGATTTTTGATGGTTTCTTGCTTCTAGTCCTCTTGCTTCATGGGTGGA